TATGATTGGAACCTTTCAGTACTGAAATAGGCTGAGAAAGTGTCTATCAAATTCCAGTGATTAAAATTTGCCCTCTTGAATTAGCAGGGCAGACTTCCTATAATGCAAAAAAAAAAAACTTCTGGAGGACTAGAAGCCAGCCCCGACTGCCCCCCCCCCCAAATATATGGAGTAAATACTGTGCAGCTGCTGCAAGGTTAATTTGCTGCTGATATATGGCAGCTTGGATGCAAAGTGAAGTGTTTCCCTTCTTAAAGTACCTTTTTGGCTTTAGAACAGGATGCATGATCCTCACTTGTTTACAAATTGTTTTTCATTTCTTGGAAGGTTTGGTGGCAGGGAGAGATTTTCAAATGGTATATATGGCCCATTCCTGACCTGAAGTTTTAGTTAATTGGTTTGCCATTTAAAACAAGGATCAGGCACTATGCATCAAAACCAGTACCAGTACAAGGATGATGGAGGAACAATTCACTGGAAGTCTGATAATATCCAGAAATGGTAAGCCCAGTAGTGCCAAGATACCAAGGGCCCACATTCCACAACAAGGATTAGATGCTTTTACTTGACAAATGGGCTAGGTATCATATGGTGCATCTACAATGTAGACTTAATACAGTTTGACACCACTTTAACTTCTATGGCTCAATGCTGTGGACTCATGCGAACAGGCCTGTAGCCAGGATTTTGATTCGGGGGGGGGGGGGCTGAATCTGACTGAGAGAGGATCTACCCTAGCAAACCTTTTGTATTGTTATCCCAATACCCCCATGCATATGGGATATATTGAGCATGGTAATCAGATCATGATATGAATAAACATAACAGTTTAAATAATTTACCAGTAAGGCCTTCTCGCAGACCACCCTGTGAATTTGGGGGAGGGGGGCTGAAGCCTCTCAAGCCCCCCCCCCCCTCCCCAGCTACATGCCTGCATGGGAGCTATAGTTTTACAATGTCTTCTTTGCCAAAGAGTTCTGGCATCTCACTAAACTGCTAGTCCCATGATTTCATAACATTAATTCCATAGTTTATATACATTCCTAGTGTACAGACTAAAAGACTATGTTAGGGAACATTTTCTGATCTCCTTTATTTCCCATAAACTGCAGCTACAGCACTGCCTCTAAGCCAGATGTGAGCAACATCAGAGGATCTAGAGCAGGGGTAGGGAACCTTTGGCCCTCCAGCTGTGGTGGACTTCAACTCCCACAATTCCTTGAGGCTCGGCATTCGCCCCAAAGGCTTACCTTGGCCCAATGCCGAGCCTCAAGGAATTGTGGGAGTTGAAGTCCACCACAGCTGGAGGGCCAAAGGTTCCCTACCCCTGATCTAGAGGATAATTTTGCCTCCAGGACCCCTAGGCTCCAGTAGCTTTCTTGTGGAATATCAGCACTAGATTTGCTCCTTGATCTAGGTCAGTGGTCCGCAACCTATGGGTCCCCAGATGTTTTGGCCTTCAACTCCCAGAAATCCCAACAGCTGAAAAACTGGCTGGGATTTCTGGGAGTTGTAGGCCAAAACACCTGGGGACCCACAGGTTGGGAACCACTGATCTAGGTCAACATTTAGGAAAAAGTACACGCCAAAGGAGTTTATCATGACACTGTTATTACAAAATTGCATTGCATTCGTTTCCATTTTACCTGAAGCTCGTATCAATCAGAGCTGCCTTGGTGCTGTGCCATACCACTGTTGGGTCTTTTGGAAATTGATTTTTCCCACTTGAAATAACCTGTTAATAACCATCTTATCCCTCCATGGTTTAGTAACCACTTTGGATGCAAATTTCTATTCCACTTTGTTATCGTATTGGGAGCATAGCAGACACAGGGCATAAGTGATTTCATTGCTGTTCTTGGGTATTCCTTTGGAATCACCCACATGGAAATCCTTTCAGTCACTAATCTGCTTCCTAAGAATTTACAAGAGAATGGCTATATATTTGGCATTTTATTTATTTTTATTTTTTCAGTAAGAATAACAGAGCAGTGCAATTCCAAAGTAGTTCTCCTAGAGATTAATGCCAGAGAAACCATTGCATTCAGGAAAAGTTTAGGGAATTGATATGCAAATGTTTAAAGGGTAGCATTGAGGGTAACATTGAAGTGTGTTGGTTCATGGGGGAAAAACATAGGAAAAATGTGGTGGAAGTGTTGTGGGGTGTGTGTGTGTGGTGGGGGAGAGAGAGCTGTTCCATAATAGTATCAATATGTTGTTATTTATTCATTCAGTCACTTCAGTCTCTTCATGAACTCATGGACCAGCCCATGCCAGAGTTCCCTGTTGGCCGTGGCCACCCCCAGCTCCTTCAAAGTCAAGCCAGTCACTTCAGTGATACCATTCATCCATCTTGCTCTGGGTCTGCCTCTCTTCCTTTTTCCTTCCATTTTCCCCAGTATCATTGTCTTCTCCAAGTTTTCCTGTCTTCTCATTCTGTGGCCAAAGTACTTCATCTTTGCCTTTAACATATTTTCCTCCACTGAGCAGCCGAGCATTATTTCTGAGAGTATGGACTGGTTTGATCGTCTCACAGTCCAAGGCACTCTCAGAATTTTCCTCCAACACCACAGTTCAAAAGCATCTATCTTCTTTCACTCAGCCTTCCTTATGGCCCAGCTCTTGCATCCATAGGTTGCTATGGGGTTAGTATCAATATGTAATAGAATAATTGTACAATTATGGCTTTTAGGTGTTGTTTTTTAAGCTTACAAATCACAGAGCAGGAAGTGGGATCATTAAGGCAGCATAGGCTGTTGCTTAAATACAGCAGTCTATGCTGTCCTATTTGTTTTCTGAAAACTGGCTGCCCTTTGGTGGGTAATACCAATTCTTCAACCCTTCTTTTTCCAGAATCTCCTGGATGAAAATAATAGGAATGCTCCAGATCTGGTAATTTGTGAATAATAACTGAATTTTGAGATGTGCTACATTTCTAGGGAGGATGTGATAATGCATACTTTCAGTTAATAGTGAAGAATTAAGTGCAGTGGTGGGAAGCAAGTTGGAGGAAGCTCAGAGCATGTGAGAGGTCAGGAGGACTGGCTTCAGTTTATTATTGTTGTTGTTGTTTCTTACCCACCTCAATATGGGGAACAGCAAAACATTTGAATGCCATATGAACCTTCAATTAAAAACACATTAAGGCAGAAAGGTATAGCTGTAGGTATGCAGAAAGGTATAGCTATAGAAAAGGCAAAAAGTACAGCTTTTGTTTATTAAGGCTGCCGGGGTTTGCATGTAGAAAAGAGAACGGATGGACTTGACCATATATGGGAGACAAAGACAGGCTCAAGATGAGTTTTTTGTGAAAGAGGTGAAAAATCGGTCATGAGACTTGCCAACTTTGCAGAAAGGAAATGGCCAAGGCTAAAAGTTTAAACTTGCCAAGATCAGCAGATGTTTCCAGCTGTATTTTGCATGTCAGCGTCTTGAGATGTTTCCAAGAAGGGGTTTGCTCATTGCGAAGCGAAACTTAAAAATATATGAGCTAATTGCTAATATAACTATAATATTGACAGCTTTCTTAACCAATGATTTAATCTTCGGGGCGGCTCTTAAAGCCGAACCCCTTTTGATGTATAAAAAGAACACTACCTTTGATGTTAGGGGCTTTTCCCAGAGACGCCATTGTTGTGTCGAAAAGCCTCTAGCAGCTGCTATAAATAAACTTTGATATTCTTGCTGAACCCAGTTGGCTGTTTTTCCTGACTCATCTGCGTCCGCAATTTGAACTGAAACGGAGCATTTTGGCTGAGCCTTTGAGCAATTGCTCAGAGAAAGAAAAAGCCTGCTTCATTTGGAGGTTCCACCGAGATAAATTCAGACGGGCCAGAGTCGGGGGAGACGGATCTTGTTGGCAAGACGATTTTTGATCAGCATCAGGGGCGCGAGAGGCGATTGCCGTGAGCCGAGACAAAGGGGGCCCCCGACTAATTACCGGCTGCGACACTCCCCTCTTCTGTCGGTGCTGCTTGATCAAGGTAAATCGCAACTCTTCGGGTTCTCAAGAAATCAACTGGGAGTGGAGAAGTGGTAGGAAGGATCCAGGAGGAGGAAAAGTCCGGGGGCGAAGGTTGTTCCGACGTCTACAGCAATCCGGCAAGTATAAGTGGTCAAGTAAAGACACTAGGTAACACACACACCAGCGCTGGGGGAAAGGGGGACCACTAAGTATCCCGTGGGGTAGTGGGAGGACAGGGCAAACCTTGCGGTTCCTAAAACGTGCCGTCGAGTGTCCGGGCGTCTAGGCCAAGGTTTGCTCCCCACTAGAGGCCATGGGTGGGAGGAACTCAAAGGCAGTGACTCCGCTTCAGTGTATGCTAGACAACTTTGATAAGTTTGTAGCTGCATCGAGTCAGGAAGATCCAGGAGATCTTAAGGACCACAGATTAAGGAATCTGTGCACAGGAGAATGGCCCACCTTTCCTTTTGGGTGGCCTGCAGAAGGGTCATGGGACCTAAAGAAGATTAGGCAGGTAGAAAAATTTTGTGCTCACCATCATCCGAATCAATATATTTATATTGATGCCTGGGACAACGTGGTGACCCAAAATCCTGATTGGGTCCAGAAGTGTAAAGAAGGTCAGTGTATGATGATAAGGAAGAAAGGAAGGAAAGTCAAGGTTAAAGTCCTTGCCCAGGAAGAAGAGCCGGTGGAGGAATGTAGTTACCGGGGGCAGCGATATGCAACTCCCAATGCGCCCCCACTAGCAGCGGTTCAAGGCGCCCAAGGGCCCGTGGACCAGGAACGGACATTACCACCGCCTCCGTCATATGAGGAATGTACAGAGAAGGTGACTGGAGAAGAAGGAGGCGAAAGACGAGGTCAAGAAAGAGATAGAGAAAGAGGTAGAGGACGTAGAAGAGGCCGAGGAGGCTATACCCTGCACCAGAAGAGGGAAGCAGCAGTGGCTACAATAGCGGAAGAGGAATGGGAAGATGCAGAAGAAGAGAAATGAACCGACAAGGCTCTCGTTTTGCTGGACCCCGGGGAGCCGATGGTCACTATAGAAGTAGGGGACCAGCAAGTTGACTTTTTAGTGGACACTGGGATAAAACGATCAGTGGTGAACAAACTTATTGGTCCTACCAGCGCAAAAGTCACCAAAGTGGTGGGGCTGTCAGGAAAAATTCAGAAATGCCCTTTTCTACAGGAACAGACATGTAATCTAACAGGCCATAATGTGAGTCATAAGTTACTATATCACCCTGATTGCCCAGTGTCATTATTAGGAAGAGACATTTTGTCAAAATTAAGAACACAAATCCAATTTTTAGACAATGGCCAGATGCTAGTGACAATACCCATGAAAGAAGAATGGAGGATCGGGCTCCCAGACTTGGAGAAACCGTTCGACTTGTTCGTGTCTGAGAAGGAAGGAGTGGCTGTAGGGATACTTACCCAGACATTAAGATCATGGCAGAGACCAGTGGCTTATCTGTCAAAACAGTTAGACACGGTAGCACAGGGAATGCCGCCCTGTCTTCGTGCAGTGGCAGCAGCAGTAGATTTGATAAAAGAAGCAAATAAATTGACCATAGGGCAGCCACTGGCCGTCAAAGTACCACACCATGTAAAGGCGCTGTTAGACACCAAGGGACCGCGCTGGCTCACAAATGAGAGACTGACAAAATATGAGGGGGTGTTGTGTGATAACCCGATGGTGACCCTAGAAACTTGTGCCACCTTAAATCCGGCCACCTTGTTGCCTGCCCCAGGAGAGGAAACAGTCCACCAGTGCATTCAGGTGATGGAACAGGTATATTCCAGCCGACCTGACTTAAAGGACGTACCAATGTCCAAGGCAGACATGACCCTGTTCACAGATGGCAGTAGCTTCATGGAGAACGGTGAGAGGCGTGCAGGATATGCGGTGGTACAGGGGGGGGGAGAGATTCTGGAAGCAGAGTCGCTCCCTCCGGGAACCTCCGCTCAACGGGCTGAATTGATAGCCCTCACCAGAGCACTGCAGTTGGCAAAGGGAAAACGGGTCAATGTCTACACGGACTCAAAGTACGCCTTTACTACGCTCCATGCCCATGGAGCTTTGTACAAGGAGCGGGGACTCCTTACGTCGGCTGGAAAGGGCGTTAAAAATGCAGCTGAGATTGTGGCCCTCCTGGAGGCGGTCTGGGACCCGGACAAAGTGGCTGTAATGCATTGCAAAGGACACCAAAGGGGAGAAGACCCAGTGACACAGGGTAATAGGCTAGCTGATTTGGCCGCAAGAGAGGCAGCTAAGCACCCCCACAATAAACAGCACCTGTTGGCTGTGACGGTAATAGGAGATCCCCCATTAGAAAAGTTTACATACACAAAAGAAGAGGAGAATTGGGCTTTGGGGGAAAAAGGAGAATGGAAGGGAGAGGTCATTGTGATGCCAGATAACCGCGTTTATGTCCCTAAGGACATGGCGTGGCACATAGTCCGACATATGCACTCCAACACACACCTGGGTAAGACAGCCTTAGCTAAGCTGCTAGAACGACAAATGTACATTGATGGACTCCATAGCCTGGCATCAGCAGCAGCACGCAGATGCTGGACATGCGCCAAGAATAATCCTCGAGAGGGACCCTTAAAGCCACCAGGAATTCAACACATAGGCAACGTCCCATTCGAGGCAATTTTGACTGATTTTACTGAGATGCCCCCGCAAAAGGGCTACAAGTATTTGCTTGTTTTTGTGGACACCTACACCGGGTGGGTAGAGGCATACCCAACCCGAACTGAAAAGGCAGTAGAAGTATCAAGAGCACTTTTAAAGGACATAATCCCCAGATTTGGAATACCATTAGAAATAGGGTCTGACAACGGTCCAGCTTATGTACACAAGGTAATTCAAGGACTATGTCAAATACTGGGCACTAAATGGAAATTGCACTGCGCTTATAGGCCCCAGTCCTCAGCTAAAGTTGAGAGAATGAATCGAACTCTAAAGACTGCCATGTCAAAAATCTGTCAGGAGACAGGGCTGGGGTGGACTATAATATTGCCCATGGTACTACTGAGAATAAGATGTACCCCTCACAAAAGAACAGGTCTGACCCCCTATGAGAGACTATATGGCAGACCACCATTAAATTTGAGGTCAATATTGGACAAAGGGGGAGACCAACATGTGATTGGAGATAAACAAACCATCCAACAAGTGCAAGCCCTGGCTGGACAGATAAAACAAATTGCACAATATACTTCAGAGTTAAATCCACCCTATCCTACCACACCTTTGCATTGTTTTTCGCCAGGTGACGAGGTGCTTGTGAAAGAGTGGAAGATTGACCCACTGGGACCTAAGTGGAGAGGGCCCTATACTGTGCTGATATCCACCCCCACTGCCATTAAAGTAAAGGAAGTTAAGCCTTGGATACACTATACCCGTGCCAAGCTGGCACCCCCCGTGTGGGAAATAAAAAAGGCAGATCAGAGTGACCTGAGACTCAGGATCATCCGGCAACTCCCTGCGGGGTCAACAAGGCCATGAAGTTGACCTCTTCGGGAACAACAGATCGTCGCAGGTCAAGTATGACGCAGCGTGGCCCAACGAAAGCCCTATCTTGGAAGTGGTGGATAGAAATTATAATGGGGAGGAGGGAAGGGTGCCCTAGAAAACCAGTTGGAGTTTTTCGGGTACATGATGCTTATAAACATGATCACTATGATACAGGGAAATTGGCTAAAAGAACATGCCAGATTCATGTTTGATCAGCATGGAAAAGATGTGGCACTCCTATATGAACATCCAGAGAAAGTAGGTGACTTCTCTTTCCTCCCTACACTAATAGCCGACCCCCAGGTGGTGCTCGGGGGGTTACAAGGAACTATTCAAAATCCCACCATATTTTCCCAGGTCCCCGATGGATTAAAACACATTAAATTCAGACGAATAAGATATACTGCCACCACGAGGGGAATGTGTTTTTGTTGTGCAAACAAGGGTACATGGAATCAAAAATGGAAAGGCTGGGAACACAGAAAAGCCTTCCTAACAAGGTTGACAAATTACACTCACTGTCAGGACAAGTTTTATTTGTATGGAACCTATAACTCTACATATGTTAACAAACAAAATTTGGCAGACACGGATTGGAAAGAACTATACCCTGAGTACCCACTGTTTGAGTCAAATTACACGTCCCTGAGAAATGGAGGCAGTATTTGTTCAGGATGGCATATTAGAGATCCCAATATGTGGTTTTTCTTTGATAAATGGGCAACCAATTTTCATCCAGGAGGAAACCAGTGTGTTGGGGTAGGATACCTGACATTCCCTGTACGAGTCCTTAAACACCCTAGGAGGCTTCAGAGATCTTTGAAAGCCATAGCACCCCTAGGACCTGAGTGTTCAGACGAAGTGATTATAGACTCACAACTGTCCGAAACTGGAGGCTCAAGGGTAGGAGGAGGATTAATAACAGGGCTCCTAACCCTCGGGTCCTATCCTGGAATAATGGCCCAGGAAAACAGAAAGAGTATCATGGGACTCACATGTAGATTAGAGAAAAGCATAAATGCCACAGGAAAAATAGTTAGACAATTACAATCAGAAATTGAAGAACTAAGCCAAATGGCAATGCAACACAAGCTAGCCCTAGATTATTTGTTGGCAACAAAAGGAGGATTCTGTTCTATAATAAAGGGCCAGTGCGTGGTCCAGTTTCATAATCTGAACCAAACAATTGAAGATGATTTGGAAAAATTGCAAGAGTTAATAAATCATAACGTAAAGGAAGATAGATGGCAACCTTTCTCATGGTTGACGACTCTGTTTCCTTCAGCATCATGGCTTAGAGAAATAATACTTGTGATTATGCTATGCGGTTTTGTCTTTTTGTTGCTAATGTGCTGTTTTCCAATTTTGCTCCAAGTTTGCCAGAGATATATGCATCAGACAGCTTCGGTAGAAAAGATAGCTCTCATTAAAGGGCATGATTGGAGAGACCCGTAATATCTAACCCTTGCTGATTTGCTCTCGCTTTTGTAGACAGCTTCGCAAAACAAAACATGTGGGAATAAGGCAGAAAGGTATAGCTGTAGGTATGCAGAAAGGTATAGCTATAGAAAAGGCAAAAAGTACAGCTTTTGTTTATTAAGGCTGCCGGGGTTTGCATGTAGAAAAGAGAACGGATGGACTTGACCATATATGGGAGACAAAGACAGGCTCAAGATGAGTTTTTTGTGAAAGAGGTGAAAAATCGGTCATGAGACTTGCCAACTTTGCAGAAAGGAAATGGCCAAGGCTAAAAGTTTAAACTTGCCAAGATCAGCAGATGTTTCCAGCTGTATTTTGCATGTCAGCGTCTTGAGATGTTTCCAAGAAGGGGTTTGCTCATTGCGAAGCGAAACTTAAAAATATATGAGCTAATTGCTAATATAACTATAATATTGACAGCTTTCTTAACCAATGATTTAATCTTCGGGGCGGCTCTTAAAGCCGAACCCCTTTTGATGTATAAAAAGAACACTACCTTTGATGTTAGGGGCTTTTCCCAGAGACGCCATTGTTGTGTCGAAAAGCCTCTAGCAGCTGCTATAAATAAACTTTGATATTCTTGCTGAACCCAGTTGGCTGTTTTTCCTGACTCATCTGCGTCCGCAATTTGAACTGAAACGGAGCATTTTGGCTGAGCCTTTGAGCAATTGCTCAGAGAAAGAAAAAGCCTGCTTCAACATAACATATAAACCTGTTAAAATATCAGTTTGAAATTGCATATTACAGCATCTGATTCTCCCTTTTGGGGTGAGAAGGGCAGGATATAAATGTAGTAAATAAATATAAGACTAGTGCATATTGAAACCATCAGTGCACCATTTAAAATTCTCAGAAGTTTTGACTACAGAGAGCAGGCCTATGTCCTGATGGTGAGCTGCTGCTTTTGCTACTAATTCACATCACAATTACTTGAATTTTCCCAGGGTTGGTAGAGCAGCGGATTTAAAAAAAAAAAGGAAAAAGGGTTCAGGGGTCAACAAAGAGAAGAGATGGACCCTCTGGGGAATAAACATTCAGCAACTAATGAAGTGTAAATCCAACAGGAAAGCTGGGGGTGGGGATAGGGCAAAATAGAGGAGTGCAAGGCGCTTATTAGTTATAAGAGCCACACTTTTTAAACATGATGGCCACAGTCCATCTTTCTGAATAACTAACAAGGCGTATGGCTTGATAAAGTGTGAGATAATTGATTGTGTGGGGCAAGTGCTGGGAGAAGGCTGTGCTTTCTCCAGCATTCAGGAGGATCAGAAGGGATTGCAAAGTATTCATTAAGGCCTTGCTCATGTTTTTTTAAAATGCTGGTGTTTCAGATATCAATGCAGGAGGATGCTTGGAAGGCATTTTTAATGTTCAACCCACCTCCATCCTGGACGAAAAGATTGAACTAGCAGTGGCTATGAAAAACTTCCTCTTTTTACAGTGATAACAGGAAATGCTTTGAATTGCCACTTTTAAATAGCATAATCAGCCAGAAGATTCACAATTCTGAAACTGTCTCTGATTGTGAGGCAATTGTTTTCCTGATATAGGTCAAGATCCTGCATCAGACACATAGCTGCAAGGAGGGATGGGGTTTATGATGCTGTTGATCAAGGTAATGAAGGATGTCCAGTTTCTTCTCACCAGTGAGATGAAGTGTGAGAAGTCAAAGCAAGGATTCCTATGGAGTTCTATCACATAGCTTGCTATGACTCATTGGCAAAAAGAAGACTGAATGCATCATCCTGTATTTATTATGATGTATTTATGACATTTCTACCCTGCCTTTCTCAACCCAGAAGGGAACTCAGGGTAGCTTTACATGTAGCCAACTATTCAGTGCCTTAAATCATTGCACAATTAAAATAAACATTTTAAAATAGAATTATAAAATACATTGAAAGTTTTAAAACAATACCTTCACTATTAATCACCCTATCCACAATCATAGTCCAGGCCATTCCAACAGTCATTACACATAATTCCATATTTAGCTATTGCACAGGTTAGGAGTTTTGAAGGGAAGGAGTTTTGAAGGGAATGGTTTGTTGTTAAAAGATACCTCTTTGAGGAAAATAGCCCTCTATAATGATTAGAGTGCTGGTTTGGAAAGAAGATTCAAAAAGTTCAAAATAACCTGTTTGTATTCCTGTGTGGGGAACTTTGTTTAAGGAACTCAGGTCAATAGTACCATTCTCTGACCAAGTAAAGCTGGTTAATCTATTGAAACCTCTACGCTTATTTACTATTCCAGAACCAAATAAACAACACATTCCTGTTTTATTTCAACTGAAGACTTTGTGTGGCTTTTTTAAACATTCCAGTGAAGGAGGTGGCCTATGAAATAATAAGTTGGTGGCAGCAAAAGAGACCTTTTAATAAATATTTTGGTGGCAGCAAAAGAGACCTTTTAATAAATATTTTGATGGCAGCAAAGGCAAACTATAATATATAGTGGTAGCTTCCCACTGCCTGGTCATGGGTGAGAGAGGGTGTGTGTGTGCTCCTATCTCTCATGGCCTCACCTTGGGCCAGACCTTGTCGTTTGTCCCTCAGTCCTCCATCTTTGTGTGGTTGTTGCAAGGGGCATTTGCAGTCATTGTATGTAATAGTGCTGAAATTGTAAAAAGTGGATAGCACAAGGTTAGAAGGATGCAGCCTAGCTTTTGATATTGTTATCTATCTATATGCTACCTATAATCTGAAACATATTATGTAGTCACAATTAAAGCAAACCCATTGAATCAGTGACTGAAAGATAAGTAAAAACCTAGTCCCCATCTAGACTGACATCTAGACAGCTAGCCCCTATCTTAGCTGCCTTCAAGAAAGACGTAAAAATTGGCTCTTCCGGTGTGCCTTCGGAGAGTGACCACTCAACCCCTTGTGTAGTTCCACCTACAGTTGTCCCCCTGATAAAGTACCTTCCCCTGTTCCCTATAAAGGCCAAACTCCACTGCTCTTCCTTCTCGGGCTCCTCTCTCATAAATGCACTTTCATCCCTAACTCACCCAGGGTTTTAAACTTTTCTCCCATACATCTGGCCTGCCCCCGGTGTTTGATTTTATTATGTTGTTTTATATTGTTTATTTTATCTGCTATTTTATATATTTTGTTATGATGTATTTTCTTGTTATTTTGTGTCTAATTATGTTGTATTATTTTGGGCTTGGCCTCATGTTAGCCACCCCGAATCCCCTTTGGGGAGATGGAAGTGGGTTATAAAGTTTATTATTATTATATTATTATTAATGTAGTTTGAAACTGCATGATATGGTCAGTATAGATTCATATAATTCGGTTTAACTACATTAAACTGCATTCTGTGAGTCTGCACTTACCATATCGTACAGTTTCAAGCTAAATTATATGGCATTCTAGGTGGGGCTTAATGCAAATCCCATGAGGGTGTACTCTAGGTGGAATTACCATTAGAGTCTGTGCTTATTGTGTCATCGTTTGAATACAGAGGCAAAGATTACATTTTAAAATGACAAAATTGGTTCTTAGGGAAATATTGCAAAATGCTCAATGGATTTTCTGTAGTTGCTCAATACTGTTGTTCACTTCTAAACTTGTTGTCTTTCATACTACAATCCAACAAAATATTACCTGACAAATTAATAGTTCCTCTGACATTTTTCCAAATAAGGACAGAATAAGAAGGTCTAAAAACAATACAAAAAGCACTCCATTCGATTTTAATGGGATGTAATAGGAAGTAAGTAGATATAGGATTACATACTTGCCAACATTTCACAAATGAAAACTGGGACACATTTGGCAAAGCAACTTTGGAGTGTCATGAAGATGGCAGGCATTATTAATGAGAAAGAACATCTTTCTTTATTGTTGAAAGTATTGTAAAATGTGCAAAATTATATTGTCCATTGAATGTATTTGGTTATGTTTGTGGGTTTGTGCCTTTAATTGTTGGAATGCTTGTGGTTTGGGTTTGGTCAATTGGGTGCAGGTGGAGCTCATTGCTGCTGTTATAATGGTTTGCATCTGCCTGCAGTCTTTGGTCTGGTCTGATTTCTGAGTTTCTTTTTGTTTCCATGATGAAGTTGTAATAAAGTAAGCTTCTGCTGTAGTATTGTTATTTTTATTTGATATTATAACTCTGCTGACATTTATAATAAAATTTTACTCTATTTCCCCCCCTCTTTTCTTTCCTTCTTTTCTCCTTTCTCTCTCTCTCTCTCTCTTTTCCTCCCTTTTTCCTCCCTTTACTTCCTCCCCCCTCCCTCTTTTCCCAGAGCCCCCCTCTCCTTTATTTTATGTATACCAAGTTTAAAAACCTTTAATAAAATTATTTTAATAAATAAATAAATAAATTTGCAAAAGAGAGGGGGGGGAGGGAGGGGGAGGGAGAGGGAGGGAGAACCCAAAAGATTACAGCAATTTGCTATTTATTGTAACTACTGGGGAAATTCTGCTCTCTCCTCTTGAATTAATTGAGTGCAAACTACTTTTGCACTTTGAACACAGGCCCCTTCTACATTGCCATATGATGCAGTTTGAACTACATTATATGATCAGTGTAGACTCATATAATGCAGATTGAACTGCATTGAACGGAATTTTATGAGTCTAAACTGCCATAAAATCCAATTGAATTTGCATTATAATCACAGTGTAGATGGGGCCTCAAACTGCCATAATTAAAGTAAACTGGAAAAAATTGTCCATAATGAAGGAAAAAAGGAAAGTGGAAAAAAGAGCAAGAAACAGGAATATCTCAAAAGCTGCTTAAAAGTGTAATGAAAATGGATTAATTGGGACTGATTCTGCCAATTTCAGACAGTTGGAAAGTGATGGAACCGTAGTCTTAATGCTGTGTAATCTCAGAATTTCCCAGGTCAATGAATCTATTATGAAAGCGAGAGAGAAGAAAAAAGGGGAAGGTAATGAAAAGTTTCATCCTGTCTCTTTCATCTCAGCTCCAGATTTACTGAACAAGAATATAAACTACTCAAGATGGCTTTATTATTTATTCAAGAGATGTTTATCTATTTTTCAATAAGATGTTCTTCAAAGTGGTAGATAAGAAAATATTGTTTCCTTTTTCAAACCGAAGAATAAAGGCTTATTACTTACACAGAGAAGCAACAGACACAGAAAGGAGCCTGTTGTCAGGCATCTGCTTCCATCTTCTTGTGTTTTCATAACAAAAATTTAGAGCAGGCAGCCTGATACTTTTAAACTTGGATTCCCAGATATTTTTGGAGATCATTCCTGGCCAACGTGGCCTTCTATCTGGGTGATGAATTTAGTCAACCAACACTTGGGTGCTGTAGGTTGAGTATCATTTTGTGGTTTAATCCTGTGTGATTTAAAATCTTGCACACTCCCAGTGTCCTATATTGCACAGGAAATCTGTATGAGAACAGTAGATTTGCTATAGACACTGCAGATGTCTGTCCTGGAAAGCCAGAAGGACTTCTTTCTGCAAAAATAGGGACAAAGTACAGATATAATTCCACAGCTTATTTGTTGTCCTTTCATGTGAGTAATAATAATTGAATAAACTGAACAGAAATCCCCTTCAGACATTCTAAAACTCTGGTCATATTAACACATACTCTCCAAAATATTCACAGATGAGAATGGGGAAATATGTGGCCAAGCAATATCAGAGGATGGCCAAAATGGTGAAAGTTATTAAGGAGGAAGGACAGTCAAGTGGATGAGGCTGCAGCAGTTAGATTTCCTGAGTCCTACTTCTGCCTGCTCCTCTCACACCTACTAATTGAGTAGAAAAACACTTTGTATTTTTAGTCTAGCGACTTCCTCACATTGCAATTGAGAAGCATCTTCTCTGTGCTTCTTTGCACTGCCAGCACGGAGTCTCCTGGAACCCATCAGATGATACAGGGCTACTTCTGGTGGGGCTCCATGCTGGTAGTGTGTACACCTGTCTCCTTAGTAAAAGCCAGGGAGGAAGCAGGAAGAAGCCAGTGACAGTGGGGAAATCTTGTAGGACCCACGATGGTAAGGAAACACAGCATTACACTGCCCCATGGTTTCCCCCACTGTTGCTGTCCCTGGCTTCTCAGCCTAAAATGTACTGAAGTCCTAGTTTGCAGTAAGTGAAGTAACGTAAGGACAAAAAAGGAAAGTAGAAAGTGAAGTACTGGAAACAAGATGATTAGTTCAAATGTTCCTTGCCAAAGTAGAACTGTTGGAAAGCATGTTAACATCAGATTATGGGGAAAGGTAACCAGTACTAGGCCATCACTGAAAGATTCTCCTTGGAGAAACATCCAGAGTTTTCTGGGCCAGGTAGCACTGTGGAGCACTATGCTACTGAATGTCCTGAGCTCTCAGGAAAGAAGTTAGTACCCTTCTCATATTGAAGAGGCAAGAAACCCTGTTTCTGAGTAGAGACTGAGACTGGAGCTACACTGCCATATAATTTGAAACTGCATGATATGGCAGCATAGATCCAGTCTAAACTTCCTCCCAACCCAAGGAAGTATTTCAGGATGAAAACACACATGGAGCTGGACAAAAGCCAATTCTCTGCAAAGGAGGGCTCTTCAGAAATACAGATTTCCCCAGAAGTTGTGTATCAAAATGTTTGTGCTGGACATTGTTGGAACCCAGGCTGCTGAGTCACAAAAGGCACATTCCAATTTGGAGGAGTTGACCTAGAATTTAACATCTGATCCTAGACTCTTTGGCTTTTGTTGTGACATTGGGTGACATTATACTGTAGGTTGCCCTATGGCTGGATTTTACTGTTTTGAACTTTGGAGCACTACTTACTCTTTCCTCTTGCCTGAATAAAGGGATGTGGCTAGCTTAGATTTTGGACTTCTGGGGCACTTCTACTGGAGCATGCCTAGCTCAAAGTAGAAGCCTGTTTTGGTAGTTTGCCATGGAAAAGTGTAATGCTGGTTGAAACCAGTACCCTGACTGATGATGTCTGAAGCCCCTTTCACGCTGCCCTATATCCCAGGATCTGATCCCAGATTATCTGCTTTAAATTTATTTATATGAGTCTCCATTACCAGCTAACCTGGGATAAGCAAATAATCCTGGATCAGATCCTGAGATATAGGAGCAGTGGAAGGGGCCTGGGAAACATTATTTTGTCTTCCAGATAAAAATGTTATATTGAAGAATTGCCCTCCCCCCAACCTAGATTACAGGGCAGGGATGGGGCAGTTCATTTATATACTGATCTTTTACCAGAACAGTTTACTGGGCGGTTTCCATTCTGAGAGCACCCATTTAAAAATATATATACATGATAAAAATAGCCAAAGAAGTAAACTGAAGTATAAATACCTACATAATAAAGTGACCCCAAAGTTTTAGCTGGGATAGGCACTGCAGAAGACAATCTTGGTGGTGAGAGGAGAGAAGTCAAACCCAACCAAACTCAGCTGAGCAAATGGAGTAGCTTTCATTGTTTTACAATTATGTCATTGGTAAACAGTTGGATCCTCATCTGGTACAGAAAGGAGTGAGAGGAAAGCCAGCATCAATCCTTCCCACCATTGCGGATCACTCTTCCCAGCAAGCCAGGCAATATCTACTTGTATATGCCCCTTAATGGATAGTGCTATGCTGTATTTTGAATGGAAAGAAATGTGTTAGCATGTGAACCCGAGTCATGGAAGGCTATACTACTAGTTGAAAGGGTGGGAGGAAGACATGAAAGCAGTGTGGAGTAATGATGTTAGACTAGTGGAGTTAGACTATTGGAATTTTAGACTATTTATTTATTTATGCTATTTCTATCCCGCCCATATCAGCCCCAAGGTGACTCAGACTAGGATGCTGGGAGAACAGCCATAGAAACCCACTGGGAAACCTTGGGCAAGTCTCTGAATCTCAGAACAGGGAAATACAAATCCTCTCTAAAAAATCTTACCATGACAAGTTTTCCTTAAGGTTTCTATAAGTCAGAAATGACTTGAAGGCACACAACAGTTCAAAGTGGGAAACACGGACCCAAAGACCATGCACCCAATGCCAAAAAAGGACATTTGGTGGAAAACATTGCCTTTTGTATAGGTCAAAGATTCAAACAGTGAGCCCAGGCATGAGATATGCCTGATAAATGTGCATGTAAATAGAAAAAATGTTGCAAAGCTTGTAAAAGTTACTTTCTAGGATTGCCATTCCCTAAATCAAACCACCCCTGAATTTTTTCAGGCAAAAAAACCCCTGGTTGACTCATGTATTTTTACTGGTTAACCAAACCCCCAGGCCAAGTATATGAGAAGCAAAAATTAGAGTGCTTCCAGAACTGCAAGCACTATCTCACCCAAATTTTGATTCTTCACACTATCATTACCTACTTTTCTACCAATTTACATTGCAATAGCAGCAATAGATGGCATAGCGGAAGCGACCATAGTGGAAGCTGCCAAAATATGGTAGCCGGCAGGCAAAGCCTAAGGCATGGGATGGGACGGGATGGGACGGGATGGGACGGGATGGGACGGGATGGGACGGGACGGGACGCGACGGGACGGGACGGGACGGGACAGGGGGTGACCTGGTTCATCTGATCCAAACCCTGCCAAAGAAACCATGGAGCAAAGAGAAGAAGCTGTGTTAGACCTTGGTCTTTATATGAACAAGGCTGTTTCTGATAACTAAATGAAATTAGTGCAAAATCCACACACTCCATTGCTAGGATATGTATTTCCTGTGGATAAGAAGAGGCATCTAAGCTTTCAACCCAAATCGTTCAGCAGATTTCCTTGGTTAGCCTACTCATTTCATGTACCAGTTGCACTCTGTAAGTACCTTGTGGTTTTTGAAGGCGAAGTTGGGAGTAAAGGTGCTTTTCAGAAGTTTGGTGCATAGGTTGCTAAACAATTTGTTTGATGGAAAAATGCAATAGAAGTCTTCAATACACACCAAAAAACAGAGTCCCATGAGAACAACTTGTGCTTGACTGAAAATTTCTTGCTAATCCACAGTAGAAATCATCTTGATGTAACCAGTCATCTTTTATTTATTTATTTGTACCAGGAGCAATTTGAGAAACTGCAGGTCGCTTCTGGTGTAAGAGCATTGGCCGTCTGCAAGGACATTGCCCAGGGGACGCCCATATGTATTTTGCTGTTTTTACCATCCTTGTTCCAACATGGAGCTGTAGCTGATAGAGGGAGCTCATCAGCACTCTCCCTGTGTTGGATTCAAATCAGCAATCTTCAGGTCAGCAATCCAACCAGTCATCATGATAAAGTTGATAAGATGAAAGCAGAAGAAAACAGAAAGAAACTTTTGCCAGTTGTGGAAATGATTATCTTTTGTGGCCGACAAGAACTGACTTAAAGAGGGAGCAATTATTCAGGACCTGTTACCTGTGAAGAACACTTGCATAATGATGGTAATTTTAGGGCCTTGTTGATCAAGAGACACTGACCTGAAAAGTCATGGGGGAGATTTCAACCCCTCCCAACTGTTTTTTCTGGCTACGGGCCTGCTGCACAAAGGCTTTTTCTTTCCTGACACATGCCTGATATATCATGGCAAGAGTAGCTCTAGGATAGAATCTTGAAGTTTTAATGCACAAAAAGTAACTTTATCAAGCTTTGGGTAGATTCAGGTGACTGTCACTGTCAAACTACAATGCCTTCCAAAGGGGTAAAGGGAATGGCAATGTTGGTTAGTATACAGCACGGGAGTAATGGTTTAATCTTCCCAACCAAATTGGCAGCCTACTCTGGTTTCATTTCAATGTTCAAAGAAAACAAAGTGGTGAAATCTAATTGAGAGTTTCCTCACATACAGTAGTGTGAGGTTGACATTTTTAAGCTCTATTTTGTAGCATTATAAATGGAAGGCAACTGTGTCCTCAGCCATCATGTGGTTGGCAGCTTTTTTCCCCATACGGAGATACTGCCTCCCCTGTTTAGTTTCTGCTCCTCTGAACAAGATTCCTTTGCAGTTCTATCTTTGCAAAACCAGACTGGAACCCTCTTCATTATACAGATGAAACGCCGCAAAATAAATACTCTGAAGATTCAGTTCTTGTGGGTTTTTTCGGGCTATATGGCCATGTTCTAGAGGCATTTCTCCTGACGTTTCGCCTGCATCTATGGCAAGCATCCTCAGAGGTGAGGTCTGCTGGAACTGGGGAAAAAGGGGTTTATATATCTGTGGAATGACCAGGGTGAGACAAAGGGCTTTTGTAAGTTGGGCTAGGTGTGGATCTTTCAACTGACCACCTTGATTAGCATACAATGGGCTGACTGCGCCTGGAGCAAACTCTTCTTGAAGGGTGATTAGATGTCCCTGCCTGTTTTTCTCTCTGCTGTTTTTGCTGTTGCAATTTTAGAATTTTTTAATACTGGTAGCCAGATTTTGTTCATTTTCATGGTTTCTTCCTTTCTGTTGAAATTGTCCACATGTTTGTGGATTTCAATGGCTTCTCTGTGTAGTCTGACATGGTGGTTGTGAGAGTGGTCCAGCATTTTTGTGTTCTCAAATAAAATGCTGTGTCCAGGTTGGTTCATCAGGTGCTCTGCTATGGCTGATTTCTCTGGTTGGAGTAGTCTGCAGTGCCTTTCATGTTCCTGGATTCTTGTTTGGGCGCTGTGGTGGTCCCTATGTAGACTTGTCCACAGCTGCATGGTATACGGTAGACTCCTGCAGAGGTGAGAGGATCCCTCTTGTCCTTTGCTGAACGTAGCATTTGTTGGATTTTTTTGGTGGGTTTGTA